CTTCAATAGGAGTTAGGTGCCTACATACCTTTAAAAATCTGGCCTTAAGTGACTTGCCCAAGGTCACACATATAGAATGTGGCAGAGCTGGGGATTGAACCTGAGTCCCAAGCCAGTGCTCTAACCATTGAGCCATCCTTCCTCTTACTTGGGCACTTGTCCCCTCCATTCCCCGCCAGCAGCCAGCTGCTCCTGCAGCACAAGGAACGAACAGCGAGCTTTCTGGGGCACGGACAGCCCCATCCAGTGGGCTTAGAAAGCTTCTGGGGTGCTCTCCCATAACCCCGCTAATAAACCATCCTCCTGACATGAGAGATGAAGCAGGCACCTCTAAAATCCAGCTAGACAATCCGAGGGACCTGGCGGGGCAGAGGCGGGAGCGCCGGCGCGGCGAGGGAACTGGCTTTCTGTTATGGGGCAGTCTCCCATCCCAGCTCAGAGCAGGGTCCAGATCTCACAGCTGAGGAGGCGGTAGAGACGGAGTCAGTCAACCTGCCCCTTCTGGGCCAAGCCTCACACACCCAAGAGCTTGTCGTGGGGAGCTCTTAAATCTGAGTCCAAACTTGGCGGCCTGGGCCCGTCTCCAGTGTCCACCTATGCCAGGTGTTCGGTGGAGAGCTGCCCAAGCCCCGTGGGAGTTCAGGGGTGGTGAGGGGCACAGACCGAGGGTGCTCTGTGCCCACAACGGAACGCAGGGCCCGGGCGACGTTTCACAATGCCAGCCCAGAAAGGGCGTGTCTTACCCAAGTCGGAGTTGGTAGCAGCCACAGGCATCTCAGCAGCTGGCGCGGTTCGGGTAGGGCTGGGGCGTCAGGTGGCGAGCGCACCTCTGAACGGGCACACACAGGGATCTATGGAGAGAGGAAAATGTGAAAGCCAGTCACTCGAAGGGGGAAGAAGGGGAGGCTAGCGGGAGGGGGCACAGGACACAGCGGAAAGGAGCTATATGGGGGAAGCCTATAGCCCCAGGATGCCGTCAATCTAGCAACCCCTGCGCTACCCCTGCTGTGGGCATACAAGTCCCGTCCGGATTCCTGGCACATCAGGGCCCCGTGGGGAATGCCACCCGACTGCCAGTGGGGAGGGAGGGAGAGGGATAAGGAGACACAGCACATAGTGACCAGCCGCCCGCCTTCAGAGCCACTCTCAGCCCTTTCCCACCGCGGGTCACTGGAGCATCATCTCCACACGCAGGAGCCGAGGAGACGCCGAGTTCACCGGGCACCATGTGCCAGAAGAAGGGATGTTTGCAGTCTGAGGCAGGGGCAGCGGGGAGCTCCCCACCACCACCACCACAGCCAGCACTCCTGCTCCATCCCCCACAGCGCCCCCTTCTGGGAGGGTCTGGAGTACCTGGGAACCCCCCTCCTGCACAGCCAGCACTCCTGCTCCATCCCCCACAGCGCCCCCTTCTGGGAGACGACAGGAACCTTGTCTGCAGTTGTTTCCCTAAAATCCTGCCCGGGACGGGGATTGCTACTGGAACGGCATTCACCCTTTCAGTGCCGGAGGGAGCCCACGCCCTGAAAAGCCACCCATCACCCCACATTCCCACCCGTCCACGGCAGCGACAGCCTCCCGGGGCCGGTGAACTCAAGGGGGTTAAAAATCTAGTCGGCTCAGGACCCCGGAGCCACAGCAGGCTGCCCTGTATGAGGCCTCGCCCGTCTAGCGCCCCTTGTGGCAGGGAAGAGCCAGGACCCGTCTATGATGCCTGCAAAGGGGGGGACGCATCTGTCCAGGCTGCCGGCCACAGCCAGACCCTGTGGTTCTCTCGGCCTCTCCCAGCTCCGAATCCCGGCCTGGAGCCAGCAGCCGAAGAAGGGATGGCTGAGCCCACAGCGTCCTCCCAGGACGGGGCTGCGCTGAGGAAACAGGGCCATGGACAAGCTGCTGGCACACTGAGGAGATGCTAATTCCCCGGTTGCCATAGCAACACTGGAGCGGGAGAACAATATGGAAGCAGTGGGAGCCGCCCGAGAGCCCACCCCTCAAGGTTACCGCCCTTTGGAGATGCTGCCAGGGAGCTGGCTAGGGATCCGAGCTGGTCGGGGAGGACGGGAGAAGGACAGGTCGCAAGGGGAGGGCCCGTGGGCCCTTCTCCCAGTCCAGGACAGGGCCGGTCCCTATTGTGCTAAGTGACGTTGCTCCAGAAGCCATGTGGGCTGCAGGACCACCCAGCCACCTCTGCACCTGACAGGCCATCAGAGTCAACTGGAGAGGCCCCTGGGGCTGCTGCTGCAGGTGATCCAGATTCACCTGAGCACAGTGTGAACCGGTCAGCCCGCTTCCCTTCCACCCAGGGGCAATGCAGGCCCATCTAGCCACTCCACGCTGCTGGGGGAGATTCCAAAAAGGCTGGTTTGCCCGGCTTTGTAGCCCCCGTGTGCTGGGAGCTGGCCTCCGGGGGCCACAGCTCTCCGCACCCTCCCGCCCACGTACTGCTTGTGAACTCCTCAGGGAAGAGACTCAGCGTCGAATTCCTCCCTGCTTCGGCGACATGCCACCTCCGGTCACAGGAGGCAACATCCAGATCAGCTTCTCCTCCAACCCCCCCCCCCCCCCCCCCCCC